AGAGTACCTTATAACATGTTGTATTGTCAGTCTAAAGGTGACTTTACGATGATGCATCTAGACTCTTACCATAATGAGATCCATATGCTTTTGATTTAATTACGGATTATCTAATTAATAGCCCATGTTAATTAGTTGGATATTTTATCATCCATATGACTATATGCATTATGTTTGGATGATATTAAGTATGATAATTTATGTTTCCATAGTTCATAATGTCTCATCTCTTTCGAGTCAATTGTCTGCTATTGAAACCTTGACTGGAAATAATTATGTGAGATGAAAATGAGACGCGGAGATAGCACTTGGTCTTTTAGGCTTTAATTTTACAATGGTAAAAAAACTTGAGAAACCCACAAATAAGAGCACTGTTGAATATGTAGCCAAGTATGAAAAGTGGGAAATGACTAATAAGCTTTGTTTGAAAATTACTAAGCACTCCATATCCGATTTCATTATGGGTGTCATCCCCGATAATGAAAATGTCAAAGGTTTTATGGATTCCATAGGAGAGAAATTTATTGAATTTGATAAAGTCGAAACTGAGAATCTGATGGATAAATTGATGAACATGAAATATGATAGTACAAGTGGTGTTAGAAAACATGTCATGAAAAATGATAAATATATTATATAAACTAAAGGCTATTAACATTCATATTGCGAAACATTTCCTAGTCTATCGTGTTTTAAATAGTTTTCCTAGCCAGTTTAATCAACTTAAGGTTGCTTACAATGCTTAACGAGATAAATAGGATTTGAATGATCTTATAGCGGTGTGTGCCCAAGAAGAGTATAGGATGCGTCCTGAGACTGTTGAAACTGTACAATTAGCTTTTCAACCATCACAAAACAAGGGGCCTACTCATCAACATAAGTCTAAGTTCCGTAAGGGCAATAAGTCACATCGAAATCAGTAGAATAGAAATTTTGAGGGTCGGACTTCTAGTAGTCCTAAAGGAATTATAGAATTATAAAGAAAACTGATCAATGCAGATTGTGCAAAAGGAAGGGTCACGGGCGGAAATACTGTCTTAAGTTTAAGACCTGATTGGAAAAGAATAAGAGTTCTGCAAGTGTTTCCTCGGCCTTAGTTTGTTTCGAGTCTTCTTTAGTAGACGTGTCTTTGAATTCTTGATGGTTAGACTCAAGAGCTAGTATTCATATTACGAATTCCCTGTAGGAGTTCACAGGCAAACGGAGGCCAAGCAAGAATGAAGTGAGCTTAAGCATTGAGAATGGAGTTCAAGTGAAGGTTGAATCATAGGATAGTGAAGTTGTCTTTGGAGTCCGATTTTAACCTTGTTTTGGAAAATATAGTTTTTTTACTGCAAATGAGACGGGATATAATTTCTAAATCGAAACTTGATGCTTGTGATTTTATCTTCAACTTTGATAATGGAAACGTTGAGTTATTTTATGGTTCTCGTTTGATTAGGAATGGACTTTTATGTGATGATTTATATAAATTGTCTTCAGCTCCTTTTGGTAAATTCTCGTATGTTACCAATGTATAAAAAAATGGCTTTAATACGTGAATTGTCCTATATGTTGTGGCATAAGCGATTAGATCACATTTTTATGGATAGAATGGAAATATTAATAAAAGATGAAATACTTCACCCTCTAGACTTCTCTAAGTTTGACACTTGTGTGGATTGTATAAGAGAAAAATTAACTAAGTCTACATGGAAAGTTTCAACTAGAAGTAATAGTATTTTGGACTTGATACATATTGATGTTAGTGGACCTTTGCCTTCCACCATACGTGGGAACAAATATTTCATAATCTTTATTGATGATTTCTCATGATATGGATGTGTTTACCTGATTAATGATAAATCTCATGCATTTGAGGAATTCGAGATTTTTAAAATGGAAGTAGAGAAATAATGTGGAAAAAGGTATCAAAGTTGTAAGATTTGATGGTGGTGATAAGTACTATGGCAAATACGCGAGTCTGGTCAAAACATGGGTGATTTTCTCAAGTTTTTACAAGAGTGTAGAATAGTACATCATTACATCATGCAAAGGACACCTAAGCAGAATGATTCTTCTAAAAGATGTAATCGAACTCTGAAAGACATGGTCAGGAGTATGATAAATAGAACAATTTTACCAGAGTATCCATGGGGTAAGCTTTGAAAACTGTCATGCATGTTTTAAACAGAATTCAAACTAAAGCATTGCAAAAACACATTTTAAATTATGGATAAGACATAAGCCACGTTTGGCTCATTTTAAGGTTGGGGGATGTCCAACTGATGTTAGGATTTATAACCCATTTGAAAAGGAAATTAGACCCGAAATCCACTTCTGATTACTTTATTGGGTACTTGACAGATCAAAAGCATATAAGTTCTACTGTCTAAATCGTGACACTAAAATTGTTGAATCTGTTACTGATAAAATTTTGGAAAATGATTTTGGTGATAGTGGGAGTTCCACATTGAGAGAACTTTTGTTGAACCAAATCAAGTTGTTATTCTAGTTCCTGTTATACTGAAAAAGGTTTGTTCTCAATCAGTTGGTGTTGTTAATGAAGACCGAGGAACCTAGAGGAACTTCCAAATTCCTCCAACAATAATTGGGTCAGTTTTTGAGCCACAAGTTAGAAGATCGCATAGTGAATAGATATCTTTCTGAAAAGGTTTACATGAGACAACCTGAAGGTTATGTTGTGAAAGGAAAGGAAAACTTGGTATGTAAGTTAAACAAGTCCTTACGTGGCCTCAGGCAAGTATCACGGCAGTGGTATTTGAAATTTGATGAGGTTGTAGCTTCTCTTGATTTTATTGAAAATACAATTGATCAATACATTTTATCTCAAAATCAGTGAGAGAAATTTTATATTTCTTATCCTGTAAGTTGGTGATATTTTACTTGTTAGTAGTAACTTAGGGTTACTTCATGAGACAATGAAAATATTGTCTGCTAAGTTTGAGATGAAAAATCTTAGAGAAGTTTTCTATGTGCTTGGCATTGAAATACATCGTGATAGAAATCGTGGCTTATTGAGATTTTTTCAGAAAACTTATATACGACGTGTTCTAAAAAGGTTTAATATGCAGAACTGTGCACCTAGTGATGCACCTATCATAAAAGGAGATAAATTTAACAAAACTCAATTTCCAAGGAATGAGTTAGAAAGGGAATCTATGAAGATGATTCCATATGCTAGTACAGTGGGGAGCTTGATGTATGCTCAAGTTTGCACTAGGTCGGATATAGCCTATGCAATAAATGTCTTTAGCAGATTTCAATCAAATCCAAGACAAGAACATTGGAAAGCAGTTAAGAAAGTTATGGGATATTTGAAGAAAATTGAAGATTGTATGCTTACATTCTAGCGTTCAAATCATCTTGAGATGGTAGGCTACTCAGATTTTGATTTTACTAGATGTTAAGATGATTTGAAATCGACCTCAGGTTATATTTTCACATTAACTAGTGGTGCTATCTCTTGGAAAAGTGCTAAACAGACTTTAGTGCATTTTCTATTATGCAAGCTACATGTTATGGGCTACAGTTCAAGCCGTTTGGTTAAGAAATTTCATCTCTGGCTTGAAAATTGTTGATTCTATCTTGAAATCAATCACCATTTATTGTGATAATGGCACAGCAATGTTCTTTTCAAGGAATAATAAAAGTTCTGATCGGTCAAAATATGTTGACATCAATTATTTGGTGGTTAGAGATAGAGCTAAGGAAGAGCAGACGAATATAGAGCATATCAATGCAAAGCCAATGATTGCAAATCCTTTGACTAAGGGACTCACTCCAAAAGCCTTTAAGACACACGTTGCTAATATGGGCATTGTGGAAACATTTGATGTCTTTGGTTAGTGGGAATTTTGGGCTTGATCCCTTTACGGGGTACGTAGGCAACCCGTATGATTTCGGGTACAGCCCCTTCTGATAATAAAATATTTTTTCCCTATCCATGAACTATTTTGAGCATGCATTTAACTTATATCTTTTTATTATGATCTTATTGGGATCTTGAAATATGATAAATAAAGACATAAAATGAGTCTTTTTTAGAGACAAGTGGCTTCATTTTGATCTGAAGCATTATGAGGACCGATATGAATTAGCACAGATTTTGATAACATTTGGTGTTAAGTTCATACCACATACTACTACATTGGTTGGAGGATGGGGATCCATGTCGATAAGGTTGTTAGCATTTGTAGCTGTGGAATTATTTTATATTGTTTAATTGGTGTAATGACTTTCATGTTCGGTGTTAATATTCTTATTAGACTGGATCATGTTACGTAAGGTGCCATCATCGAAGCTATACTTTTGTGGCCAGCTATGTAGTCTAACCCGGGTATTAAAACTTTGTTATAGCAATCAGATATTTGCCCAAGTGGGAGAATGTTAGAATAATTCCATATGTGGGCTTCACATTCGATTGCAAATTTTACGGGTTAGATGTACGACACATGATGATATTTGTATTTTGGCCAAATTTATTAAGTGATCAATTGGACCTTTTACACCTTACGGGTTGTAATTAATATAATGTGATAATTTTACGTGAGTGGGTCGAAAATAAACCCTAATTAGAATTCTAGNAAAAATTAAATTTTTAGTAAATCTTAATAAAATTCAATAAAATATACGTTACAAAGTTATGAATTTCATAAAATACGTGGTTAAAATTAATTATTGATTTTGATTTAAATTTTAATCAATTTTTTTAACTAAATCAAATTGAGAATAAATTATTGCATTATTAGTCCCTGCTTGTTTGGTCATTTGGCGATTTTTTCTTCGAGAACAAGGAAAATATTTTATTTAGAAGATGAACAAATACAATATTTTTTATGTTGAAAATTAAATTAATCATATATATTTAATTGACGATTTCCATGAAAATAAGTTATATACAATTTAGTATTTGCAATAAAAAAGTCCTTTAGTACTTTTCAGAAAAATGCAGATAAGCCATCCGAGACCGTTTGGGCCCAGATTTTACTATTTAAATTTTTTTGCGCGCCCTAATTTCCCTATTTCCAATTTCTTTTGCGCGCCCTAATTTCCTAATTTGTCTCTATTAACCCTTTTTCGTTTTCATTTCTCTGTTTCTGATTCTTGCTCACTCCTGTCATTCGGATTCTCATCAGCTTTCTCAAGTAATTTTCTATCAACACTCGCTGGAGTTTACTGTGAAAGGTTAGTCTGATTCGTTTTCCACTATGCCAATTTTTGGATTAGGGTTTTTTATTACAGTTTTGGGTGGGCTGTTTAAACGCTGTGGCTGTGGGTGGGGGCTATTTGGACGCAGAGGAGTTGGATTTGGCTGCGTACGTAGAACGGTGGGATTGGTGGGGCTGTGAATTTCTCTATCCTGACTGAGAAAAATCAAAACCTAGAAACTTTAGTTTATATCTGCAATTACCTTTACTTCCAGTTTCCTTACCAGGTTTATGAAGCTAAATATATGTACAAATATCAGTTTTCAGTTATTTTGATGGATTTATATGTGTGTAGTTGGAAATCGGAAAGGAAGTTGTTAAAGGAAGGGCTTTCCAAGCCTATGTTTGGCTCATGTTATAAACTGTTTAGATTTATTGACTGATCTATTGTTTAAACTTTTGCTGCATATAGTACAATTTTTCATTTTATTTTTCTGGTACATGTGTTCTCCATTGTTTTTCATTAATTGTTATCAGTAGCGTAGGACTTACTGCAATTGTTTGTCAGGACAGACTTGGTTTCTCTGGTCCAATTTTTTCTTGGGATATTTTTTACGTTCGAGCAGCAGTTGCCAGTGCTTCTGATCAGAGAAATATAATCAATTTTTCTCATCATATCCATCTGCCATAAGCAAAAATGTCGAGATTTGATTATCCGACGATGCCTCGCCACGATATCATAGCAGTACTGGCGGAATTTCAAATCGCCAACATCTCCGAGTCAGATCTTCTACATCCTGACCCGGATTTCATCTGCAACCTCTACACTCACATTCTCCTGCACGTTGACTCTCTCCAGTATGCTAACCTGAATTGTATCAGTTTATTTTTGAGTCTGAAGTGAATATTGCAAGTATTATTATTACTACTACTAACGTTGTTTTTGAAGGGAAGACAATGGGCAAATGGATTTTGGAGCGCTGGAGCATCTGGAGAACCCTGACCACCACGTGCACTCAGTTCAAGTTATGAATTTGTACAATAAGGTCCGAGAGTTGTTGGCCGCTGTGGACTGCCCCAAGGCCTTCACGCCCAAGGACCTGATAAAGCCTGAGACAGATCGCACAGAGCTCTTCCTCGGTGCGCTACTCAATTTTTGCATACACAGGTGAAAAATGAAAAATCTTGGGTTATAAGGTTTATGTATTGCTGTTTCCTTATCTGTAGAAACAGTGGTCCTCTTTATCTGAGTACTGCATATAGTTGGAAATGAATATGATAAAGTTGAAGATTTTATGTGTATATAATGTTAGAGAGACAAAATTGGAGCTTCTGAGACCGGTTGTGGAAGAACTTACCAATTTTGAGGAGAGAAGACTTGCTGCAGAAGCTAGAACCAATCAGGTACCTCTATGAACCCAACTTTTGTGCTGGATACTTGTGTAGTTAACTAAAATCCACGTGAAGTAACTTGTTCACCTACCTCATAGTTGAATGCGGAGATTGCAGAGTGTGAGGAATCAAGAGAAAGGGAGTTGCCACTTGTTCAAGAAGTCAATTCTAAAGTCACTGAACTCCGCCAGACTATTTCAGGTCTTAATAATCACCAAATGTCTTTGAAGACTTCTATAAAACAATTGAAGGAGAAGACCAAAGAAATGGATGAGAAGGTCTGACTTTGATATCATGTTGGCCTACTTTGATTAACATTTCTTCTTTCATGCTGAGGTTCTTATTTGATTGATCTGGACTCTATTCTATTCCTCTCATCTATCATTCAAGTTTGCACTTTCCATCACTAGAACAATTATTTCTCTTGAAGGTGCCACACATTTTAGGAAGTTTTGATTTGGTTCTTCTGCAGTTATTTTACAGTTTCATACATTGAGTTTCTGGCAGAATATGCAAACTTTTTGCTGTTTTAACCATCAATAGAATAACATTTGACAAATTGACTCATCTTCATTTACCAGATCTCCAATGCTGAATTTTCTTTAGTGCAAAGCGTCCAAGAAAATGCAAATTTACGTTCAAAAATTGTTCAATCACCGGACAAACTTCAGGTACAAGTATTTATCATCAGTGTATATTGTTGGCTGACCCTGTGTTAGTTCTATAGCGTGCTCCTAGTAAATGCCATGAAATGTTGATCAGAGATTCAAAATTTAGTTGTTAAGCTAGATTTTGCAACCTAAATTATTTACTAGGAGAAATGTTCTAATGCAACAGTTTTACTGCTTAGCTGAAATCAGAAGTTTGGGTGGCATTTGGTGATGTCTGTACAACATTTGTCTTCAATATATATTTAATGTGCTACCAGTCATGATTGGGAGAATGTATGCTTAAACTTCTGGTGATGCTACTTAAATTGTTGTTTCTGATTTCATTCCATTGTTTTTGACCTTGAGACTGAGGTATATTTTTGTATACAAGTTTCTCTCCAATTCGGCCATTCAACTATAGTCAGACGAAATTTTAAGTTATGAATTATCCACACGTTAACAATTTATGTGGATCATTTCAAA